AATATCTGTTTGTTAGCAGACATAAAAACATCAATCTCATCATACATCTCCATCAGAGCTCCTGGGTGACCAGGTATATTGTCAATAAGCAATTGTATTTTGATAAGATTTTTTTTCTGAATGTTAGGTTTCAACATTGGTCTTAAAATATTCACTATATCATATTGTAAACAGATATATTATTACCCAGGCTTTATGGTTCCATTGATAAAGCACAGGCAGAAAACATTTAGCATAACTTTTGAGGGTCCTAGGATTTTTAGAATGGTAAATGAACACTGGCTTCAATTTAAAGTTACTAACTGCCTTCACCCCTAACAAAACTTCCGTTTTTCCTTTGAAGTTTTGGAGCCAGGAATTGACTTATTCTCTCTGGCTAAGAAAGTCCTAGATGACATCTTTTTTCCATTATAAGGCTATTTTGTGCACACTGAAAATCTATTGTTTAGTGCAGCCATCTTCACTGATTCTCTTAGCTGGGTTGTCCCGATACCTGCTGCTGCTTCCAGCCCTGCACCTGCTGCTTCATCTGCACTTATAGTAAGGACATGGCTTCTTTCCTTAAACCTCATTAGCTAACCTCTGCTAGTTTCAAACTCTTCTTCTGCAGCTTCCTCAGCTCTCTCATCTAAGGCAGCCATCTAAGGCAGATTGAAGTTCAGGGTTGCCACAAACCTTCTCTCAGCCTTCACAGAACTGAGAAATTTAGGGCTTTGCTCTGGATTAAGCTTTGGCTTAGTGGAATGTTGTGGCTGGATCGATCTACTCAGATCACTAAAACTTTCTTGGCAATAAGGTTGTTTTACTTTCTGATGATTTGTGTGTGCACAAGAGTACTACTTTTTATTTCCTTCAAATTCTCAACTGGGCTAACTTTTGGACTCTCTCGGCCTTGAACATGCCTTCCTCCCTAGGCTTAATCATTTTTATTTTGATTTAAAGAGGTATACAATACTTCCTTTCACTTAAACATTTATATGACACTGTGAGGTTATTAATTATTCACTTAATTTCGATATTGTTGTGACCCAGGGAATAGGGAGGCCTGAGGAGAGGGAGAAATGGGGGAATGGCTAGTCAGTGCACCAGTCAGAGCACACATATTTTTCACTGGAGTTTGCTGATTTATATGGGTGTGTTTTGTGTTGCCCCAAACTAATTACAATAGTAACCATCAGAGATCACTGGTCACCATAACAAATATAATTATGATGAGAAATTGTGAAATATTGAGAATTACCAAAACATGAGCACATAGTGAGCAAATGGTGTTGGAAAATTTGGTGCCTCTAGATTTGTTCAATGCAGGGTTGCCACAAACCTTCGATTTAAATGCATTAAAAATGCATTTTCTTTGAAACTCAATATAGCAAAGTACAATAAAACAAGATATGCCTGTAGAGAATGCTCAGTGAATTTCAAACATATGATGCACTCTATTTTAATGTCACCGAAGAACTGTAGGCATTATGGCTCCTTGAGTGGTTTATCCTTCTTCCAAACCTAGAAGACTGTCTATTTTCCTGCTACAATCTTCGCTGCAACTTTAAGGAAGGATATCTTAAACAACTATAAATCTCAAAATGTGTATTCAAGTGAACGTATACAGCACACCTTGGCACAGCGATGTTAAGCTATCATTCTGGGCATCTCTTAGAAGGAAATCACTGGGCGGGCGAAAGCATCAGAGCCTTTGCCCAGGACTGCCGCTCTGAGGCTTCGCACCCAGCCCCCTGCGTGTCCTGAAGAGGCTTGCACACACCTCTGCTGGCATGTAATTTGGGGCCTCCCAACAAATGTACACCTACTTCACAGAGCTCAGCCTGTGGCACGGGGGACCCGCTTACAATGAATAATTTACTCTGGGCCTCTCTGAAGCCGCCAGGCAAGAGAAAAAAACAGCCACCTTCCAAGCCAGTTTTCTCATTGTGCGGAAGTGCTTTTCTGTCGGCCAGGCTCCCACAGCAGGCCCTACTAGGCTGAACGTCAACGCGTGCGTGTGTCTGCCTCTGCCGAAGAGGGCTGTTCTAAGCAGACTTCATTCGGGCGGTTAGAGTGTGGGCACACAGGACAGCCATCTAGGGCAGACTGAAGCTCAGTTTCAGCAACCACTAGGAACTGCGTACTTGAGTGGGGCGTCCTGCACTGCCTTCTTTTCCTCACTTAAACTAAACACACCCATGTGACTTGTTTCCACTGCTGTTATTAGAAAGCACCTTGTTCTGCACCTTCCCCTGAGGCTAGTGCTAAGGCCTATTCACAACACACTTAATCTCTGCGAGTTAGAATGCATTTAGGGACAGCAGCTTTCTACAGCAATGTTTACTAAGTTTTCCATGTCACATAGGAGCAAGTTGCATGCCAGGGGAAAGCGGCCTAGTGTTCTCTCAGTCAGGGCTCTCTCAGTCAGTGCATCCTGGAGTCTTTGCCAAGCAGTATCTGGCAGAAGCCTGGCCTGAAGCTGTTTTTTACACTTTACTAGAAAGGCATCTTCAGGGCATTGCTATTTCACAAGGGGAGGAGGTTGCACTGTGCTTCCTCTTCTAGGGCCCTCAGGAAACAAGGCGATTTTGCTTCTCTAACTCATTTAACAATAGGTATCCAAACACACAAAAAATAAATTGAGAATCCAATAGCATAATAACCATTGAACCAAAATTTATTTTTCAGTTGAATTTTATATAAATGTAATTTCAGAATATGTAAAAATATGGATTTTATGATATTTCAAGATAATATCAGAATAAGAACTTGTAGGAGGGTCAAATAATTATCAATTAGAGATAGAATTGCAAGTTTCCAAACATTTCAATATCCATCCGTATGTACACAGAGGAAAGAAGGATCAGTTTTCGTTGGCATGGTTTCTGTATTAATGTAATTCAGGTCACAGGTATCATAAGATTGGACTTGCTGTCACAGGCAGAAATAGGCACAGAACACAGTAATTTAGAAGATTACAGAACTTCTCTGTATACATTCCTGATGATGTCAAAAACATGTTCCAGCAAATGAGATTACCAATTATTCAGGAAGTCCAGAGAATTACTAGCTGAGAATTGTTTACTAATATCAAGTGAGAGCATAGCTCACATTTCACTAATTAGCCATCAAGAAATGTACCATATTTGATACCCAACATTTTATCATTTACCACTGGGTAAGCTATTGCTGTTAAGGCTCAATTTTTTTCTCTTAATATTGACATTTAAAAACATTTTTAACTGCCCATGCGTAATTTCCAGTAAGATAATATTTCAAGATGATTTCCATAAATAGTAAAGAAAAACATAGACTTCTTCGAAGTACAGCTAGGCAGCAAGTCCTGATATAGAACTGTATCTCTGGTTTACTTACAATTCAATGGTCTAGTAGCCATGGTGTGAAAGTTCTGAACCATGTGTTGGTAAATAACAGTAAGAGAAGTGACAAACATGGTCCTGAACATTTATTACATTATAAAAGAAACATGTTCTTAGTAGTTGGAAAAAATTTAATTTCTACTACTTCAGATGATATGATTTATGTACACCAAGGCATTAAAGCATCAAGAAGAAATCTATGTTAAACTTATTCATCTATAATAGAATTAAAAACATGGTTTAAGATTAACCTGAGACACTGAGACCCTTCATAAGAAGGAAGATGTGCACTGAGTGAGCTTGGAATGCATGTATCATTTAAATCCACAGCACAGAGCACATGTTGGAATAGAAATTCCCTTTTGAAACACAAAAGTATGAAACTTTCAGTTAATATGAGTATTTTGAGAATAAATAAGTATACTAATTTCACTTATAAAATACAAAGCCATAGTTCACTTTAATGAGAAAGAACACAGGTAGTTTACAAATCCCTAGAAGGGTAGCCTTACATAATACATTTGAATGAAATATATCTAGTTAAAATATAAAGTATGCCTTCTCATATTCTTCAGCAATACAAACACACACAGATGACCAAACAAGGAAAAAAATTGTGTAAGTCAGGTGGTTGCAAGGACATGTGCAGAGATCATCTTTGGACTTATATAAGTAAACCAGACAGGTATCATGAACCTAGAGACTCGCAGAAATGTAACTACTCTTGTTGTTCATTTTGGGAGTATATGCGTACGTAGTTCACTTGTCTAATATTTTTTTTTGTGTTTCTTTTTTATGTTTGGTTTGTTTTTTTTGGCTTAATTCTGAAAGAAAAAATAAATAAACATATATTCCTATGCAGAAGGATGGGCAAAAATAGGACAATTGTGCTTCACTGCATTGTCAGGCTTAGAACTGACACTTTTTGAAAGAGACAGATGGGGGAGGAGGTCCAAAGTGCACACTAAGAAGAGCAAGAACCTGAGTGGAGAGGCCAAAGGGATCAGGAAAACTCTCTGAACTGCCATCCTTACGATTAGCAGGTGCACAAGTTAATGGAAAACTTTTGTTGAAGAACTGCAATATACCTACAGTCATTTATTGTCTCAGTGAGTAATCTTCAACACTTAAAAATGTCTCTGGGGGAGCAGTCTCCCTATGTCTGACTGCAGGTGACAAAGCCATACTAAAAGCTAACACCAACTTGTACTATGTAGATAAATATTTTATTGCTTCTTCAAAGAAAATTAGAATGAGATAGTAATGACTAAATCATTGGTGCTCCACAAGATATATTTTGAAAAAGTTAATTTGCTAAATAATAGATACAACAGAACACCAACTCATGGGTAATGGTAATGGAATTTCATGAGAACAACTCAAAGAATTAAGAGAAAATTGTGTTGAAGTTTCCAAAAGCACTATGTAAAGAAAGGAAATCTCAACAGAGATTGCCCAGTGGCCTGTAAAATTCACAAAAGGCTCAAAATGGCTTTAAAACCACATGGAAGATTTTGAATTCTCATTGTTTTTTCATTTTTAACTATTTTCAATATAGTACCAAATCTTTTTTTCTTCTTTTTCTCCTATACTTACATCAATTTATAAAATAATAATTTTAGAAGAGTTATTCCTTACCTTTGATTCTTGAACTTTCTTGACTTTTTTCCTGCTGGAATTAAAACAGAAATAGGTCAAAATCTGTAAGTATGTGATCAATAGGCTGACATAAAGTATCATTGTAACAGAAAGCTTGTCAAAGTGTTTTGTTGTACATATACTCAGGAGTCATTGTAACACAGCCTCTCCTTCAAAAATACTTATGTCAAATATTTTGTTAAAGTAACAATCATTCTTACTGGACATTAATTTCTCTAAGAAACATACATTAATCAATATGGATTTATAAATAAAAAATGGTTAATGAATAATAAATAAATTATCATGCTTCTCAAATGCTACAGGCCATTTCACTTAATTCCAACAGATATTGAATGATGTCTTCAGGATTTGTTTTCAACGTCTCTACATTAATAATAAACTGTTGATAAGGGAAAAATGTTTAAGGGCAAACAGCAGAGAATTCACTAAAATAATACAAAAGATGTTTCAACTGTCTTTCCTTCAATCAATCCCTGTCTCACTTCTCTAAGGCTAAAGTTGACAGTAATTATATTATTTTTAAAAAGGTTGCTTCAGTCAGACCTGTCTTTCAATTTGACACATTCCTTATTAGTTACCAAGCAACCCTAAAGAATTAGCTTGCTTTTAAGTTTTAAGTAGAAATTGTGCACTCTATAGCTTCTCAATTAATATTCAAGCACAGTACATTCTGTCTAAAAATTTCAGGGTCTCATACTAAAAACAATTTTGAAATATGCTTCTAATAAAGTGAGAATTTTATATATATATATATTCTGAACTGCAGAATTACATACCGATAAATTATATTTTGGTAAAATTAATGAACACAGTAAAAATTGTGACACAAACATTAATCCTAGAGTAAATTTTGAGACTAAAAATTTCTGTTGACAAATGTGTATTTCTTGAACTGGCTAACCCAGTCTGTGATTCAATGGCCTTTAGTACTTGATGTTCTAATTCTCTTATCCTTACTCATTCAGACTTTGTGCTTAAATTCTGCAATACCCTTTGTTAATTAACTGATTTTTCCAGTTCTGATTTATTTTGGAGCATCTGTTGTTCATTTAAACTAAAATTTAGATACAAATTACTTGTTTTAAATATATTATTCTTTCATAATTATAGGACAAGCCAGCTTAAGTTTACCAAAGAGGTATTTGTTAATGAAGATCTCTCTCTCTCTCTCTGTCCCCACATCTTTTGACATTTATTCATTCATTCATTTCATCATTCATTCTTTCAACTAATATGTTTACATCACTTTTATGTGCAGACACTGTTCCTAATGATAAGGCGATAAGGGAAGAACAAAACAAAAAAATATGTCCTTATGGAACATACTGAGTAAATGGCAGTAAGTTCCATTTGGAAAAATATATACCATAGAAGGTGGTAGTTTTGGAGTAAAACTGCAATTTTACATAGGTCTACAATGATAAAATTATTTTGAACGGAAGTCTGAAAGACATGAAATCTAAACGTACATCTGGGGAAAACATATTCTAGGAAAAAAATGCAAATTTCCTGAGGTATAAGATTTCTTGGAATTGTCAAATATACCAAGGAGACCAGTGTGACTGGACGAGACTGAGTAAGGGAAGTTCAGTAGGAAATGTACTCAGGGAGGCGATAGCTTTCAGATAGATTGGTGCTTGGGACATTTGTTAGATCATTAGTTTTTGTCCTAAGAGAGCTGAGAAAACACTGAAGGATTCTTCTCAGAGGAGTAACATTACCTGAATCACATTTAAACAGAATCATCTTGGCTATTGCGAATAGGTTGAAAAGGGCGAGGACAACATCAGAGGGACAGGAAGGAAGGGTGCTGCGGTGCCCCAGGTGGGAGGCGACGGCAGCAGGGAAGGGTGCGGCAGCAGCGGGGCTGGGGTACCGGCCAGAGCTGCCGAGACTCACTGCCAGAACAGAAGCGGGATGTGAGAGAGGGAGGACAGGGTCGTTCTGAAGAGTCTGAGGCACTGTAAGGGTGGAGTTACTCCCAAGAAGAGAAAGATGGCCAAAAAATAAACATTTTTATCATTCCTCACTTCCATGCAGTGTTGTCCCACCCTGAATGTTTCTCTTGTTGTCTGGCTACCCCTGTTCCATCTCATTTACTGATTGCTCCTCATCTCCTCAATGTCTAACACTGCTTTCCTAGACATTGAACCATTATCCTTCTTCCATATACCCGGCTCCTCTGAGGATCTTTTCTAGTCTTCTAGGCTAAAGCAGCATCCTTTTCCTAAGGGCTCTCAACCTTGCGTCTTCATCCAGTCCTCACCACGGACCTTCAGACTCATACCTTCCAACTGTATTTTTGACATCTCTGCTTGGATATCTAATAATGCCTATTTGTCGTGTTGAAAATGGAACTTTCGATCTCTCCTACTTCACTGGCTCTTTCTCATCTTCACCATCTTCATCTCTCCATCCACCCAGTTGCTCAAACACAAAGTAATTTTTGTTTACTCTGTCTCTTAAGAGATAAAGAGCCTGAGCATGATGCTAGAGTAGGAAGGCAAGGTGGAAACCTCCTCCCACATGAACACCAAGGAAGCAGCTACAGTAAATACAAGTAACCCTATGACCTGAAGACTGCAGAACAGACCACTTACACCTGGGGAAGAAGAGAAGACCGCAGAGGAGGTTAAAGTGGAAGAGCTATAATCATCTGGGATGCAAGCCCTTCCCCCATCCCAACCCACAAGAGGGAGGGAGAGGAATCATGCAGTGAGGGGAGAAGAGCTCAGGAGCTCTGCACACCCAGCCCTGGAGATCTGCTCTGGGAATGTGAGTCCACAGTGAATTGGGTTTTGGTGATTAAACCAGGCAGGACACCAGG